TTATAGAGAACAGTGCTGGTCCACATAAGCATCAAGACCTTTGTCAGACACTGCAAAAATAATTCATGGTGATGCATGTTTTAGCTGTTTAGACAGCCAAATGTTATTTTATTGTTTATACTGAAACATGGATAAATGCTATACTAAGTTTGGATCCCACTGTAGTGGGCGCTGCAAGATGAGCAACCTTACCTGAGTCAAACGATTCATAGATGAAGGTCCTGAGCCCAATCTCTGTCATGACAGTGCCCCTGCTACATCTTTCCAGTTAAATACATAGCGAATATAGCATAGCAGGTAGGTAAAATAAAAGCAATCTGAGTAAAGAGTTAATCACCAATCATAGCTGGGGATTCTGTACACATTATTTGTGGTGAGTTAGTAACAGCTGCCATGGCAATCCCAACTGGTACTGCCCTGGCTGTTGATTTTCTAATGCATATTTTTCCATTTCAGAATTATGAACATGTACAGGTATGCATCAGTACAATGTGTRTGTATGTGTGTGTGTGTGTATACATTCATCTACTACCCCAAATTTGTCTCATCATGTCAGAATATGTAGAAAAAGAAAGCCAAACTATGTGGCCATATTCCACTCTTGGTGTGCTAGGGAAAAATAAAATATTTCAACTGATATGAGTAAGTACAAAAGGACCGCATGGGCTAGTCAATCAGCAAGGAAACAGTTTAATCAGAATTTARTAATAGTGAAAAATGTCAATACTAAAAAAAGGCTTTCTTCAACTCTCTGTTTTTTATAACAATCCTATGCTAATTGAAAAGGTGCAAGCAGGCAAAGTAGCAAAAAGAAATTGATAGGTGATAGTAATTTATGACCATGTACTAAGAATAGACATACTCAGTAACATCATGCATRGAATCAGACCACATTACTGCGAATCACATTCAATACTTTTTGCTCAAGGGAAAAGAGTCTAGCAAAGGTAAGTAAGGATTGTATTCTTAAAACCAGAAGATTATATTCTTATATACTTTCTTCTAAATCCATGAAAGGAGCTCATATAAAAATGCATTAGTTCAGAATGTGAACAAAACATCAACAAGGAGACTGTTAATAATAAGCATCAATCACTTGTTGAAAGGAGCATAGCAGTGCAATAATAATGAAAACAATGGCAGATGACAGATGACCAGATATCGAATAATAACATGTCAGACCCCTGAAAAGGCTAAGTGCTTAATACTGACTCCATAGAACACCAGAAGAGGTTTGCTACTTACTGCAAAGAATCATGGTTATACTTGATTTAATGAATTAATGTTGTCTTAATGGGTATTCTGAATATAAGGTAGAAGTTGGTGAGGAAGTTAAAAAGAGTTGATATATGTGCTAATCAGAAGTAAAATTTATCAGGAATACATTTCCTCTGCAATTCATCCTGGCACAATCCTGATTGAGACAGTGGCTGCAGTTCAACTAAATGTTCATATGTTTCAGCAGTTGAATAAGAGAKGCAGAAAGAAAATTGGAACAGACTGAAGAACTGGAAAATTTTACCTTGTGCTCAGAAATATTTAGCAATCACTCCGTATACTTACCAAAAAGATAGTTCAGAAATGGCTTGATGACATGAAGTACACCCTTCAGGAAAGTAACTTTTGCAGTATAAAACATTTGAGGAAATTGATGGAGTAAAAACCTCAGTTGTTGAATGCAGATATTCATCACATTCAGATTAGAAATAAAGTTTATCTTTTGTTTTGCTGTTTTAGCAATGTGTCATTGACCATGCAGTCACGTGCTGAGCAGTGTAACAAATTCCTCAGCCCTGCAAACTACTTRGTCAAAACCAGACTCTTTTCTAAAAATCCTAGTTGAAAAACATTAAATTCTGAGAAGGGCCTTAGCAAGAGCTCAGACTAAATGGTTATAATGGGCTYTCTGGCCTTTTATGATATCAATCTTTGGGTTTTATATTCAGAGTTATTTTCATTATCTTCTTCATTATAAAAAAAAATCTTAAAATGTACAGATTTAGTAGGGTTCAAAAATGCTGTACCAACATAMGAATCCTTTGATTACATGGTTGATCAATAAATACTTCCCTTCAAAAAAGATTATTGTCTTTGGATTTTTGAAATCTGCAGAACCTTTTCAAATACCAGTAGATGTAAATAAAGAGGAAATACAAATGAAGGTTCCAAGTTCCAAATCTTCTCTGAAGTGTGTAGTCCCATATGTTCACTCTGGATCTCAAGAGTCTTTTTAAAAATAAAAAGTACGTCCTGATCTTCCATGCTCATTCTGCTTCCTGTTCTGATTAGCAAACACGCACTGTTCCCATTAACAGCACCAAGTGAGGACATGCTCTAAGGAATAGCTTAGGCCACCTTCTAATATATGATTTTGATGATGGAAAAAGCAACAYCATCACCCCTCAGGTATAACCAATGCAAAATAATTATTAATAATCATGCAGTTTTCACTTCCCTTTGCTGTGTAGTAGCTGTGATAGTGCAGTTTGTTACTATCATAGCTAACTGTTGTGAGAAATTTATAGCAATTTGGGATTTACTATATTTATTTGAACCACTTGTGTTCCTTCTGTTTGCAAGAGATTTTATATTTATTTTGCCAAAAAATCACTTAAGTATATGCTGAATTCTAGTACATCTATTATAGATTACTTGAATTTTTTCTACTGAGATTATAGAAAATTACATTATTAAGCCTCTGGAAAAATATAAAAGGAACACTCTCAGATTAGACTRTGCATGCTAAATTCCTGATCCTTGTCTGGCAACATCTTTCTTTTTCTTCCAGTGGTGTAAAAAAACTTCCATTGCTTTGTCTCAGACCCAAGGGATACATTTCTTATTCCTGTCCTAATTTTTCCCCTGCCTACCTGCTACTTCTTTTCTTCTTTGCTGTCTCCTTTCTTGGCTGATTTCCATCTGGTTTTCCAATGCATTGCCATCAGAATGTCCWTTTCTCTATTATTTTGATTTTACCCTCCAATTTTCCTCCCCATTCCTTCTGTGGAGCACAGCTAATTCAAATGTGTTGGGTTGTTGCAGTAGACTGTAACAGCCGGCCTTCATCCTCTCTTTTTTCTTTTACCACCTCTTCCATCTGTTCCATGAGCAATGCCAGCCTTGACTCCA